TTCCCAGCCCTTGAGCACTGCCAAGGTGCATCAATTTAAAGTGGGTATAATAAGCTAGGAAAATGCATGCAGCCAAATAAACTGAACAGTAGCTCTTAAGAGATAATTGGTTAAATTTCTGATCATCTGACCACACATTTGTGAACAATCTTTTTGAAGTAGTCATGGCACACCAGCTGCAAACTATCCTCTACATAATAGCTCACTATCACAGAGCACTCATCTGTGAAATGAATGATCAATATCAGCTTCCGTCCTTGTCTCAAGGGATGCTAACTGTGGCAAATAGAAATGTACTGCTTACAGGGGTAGAAATGATTGTCAGAAAAAAATTTGCACCTTATGAAGCACAGAAATCTTAAAGATTCTAAGGATCATACAGCCCTTTAATATATGGAAATATTAATTTGTTGAATATATATATATTTGTTCTATACTAGTGTGTAAAAGCAGAATGATATAGTCATATCTAATACAAATTATGCAGCATTTCATTGCTCATTAGTGATGAGGAAATTTTTAACAGCATTTACTAAAATCAGCAGAGCACAAAAATATTCTAGGCTACTCCTCCATAATTGGCTTTTTAAACATTTCTCTTTTTAATTTGCTGTCTCTGGATCCCATTCTGAAGGAATGGGACACAATATCAGTGGGTCCTTACCCCAGACCTACATGTCATGGAGTTTGGGCTCAGAAGTTGTTGATTGTCAGACAATAAAGGATTCTATTATATCTGTGGCCACAGAGGTGAATATGCAAAGTACATCCATCTTTGGGGTAAGTTTACAGAATGGTTGAAGTTGGAAAGGACCTCTGGAGGTCATCTCAAGCAAAGGCACCTAGAAAAGCTTGCCCAGGACTGTGTCTAGATGAAAGTTAATTGTACTGCTACGAATAACAAAAGATCAGTATCTTGGGAAAAATAATATCAGATACTAAAATTTAAATGCAAAAGAAATGCATACAATTCCTTGTGATAGGAAATATTTTTACTCCATTTTGGTAAAGAAGGGATTAAACTATTCTGTAACAAAAAGATGAAGCATCCAGTGACTGCAACTCCAGTAATCTGTAAGCATGGTGCATCAGCTGGGTTAAAAACGTGGTTTACTAACAAGCTAAGACATCAGAGTGGCCTTGTTAATTATGAGAGCTATTTCTGCACTTAGATCTCTTGCACTTCTAGTATTCACAAAAAGCACACAGAGGTGCAGAGAAGAAACCTGTCTCAGAATGACTAAGGTTGGAAGGAACAGCTAGAAGTCATCTGGATCAACGTCACTTATCTAATCTGGGGTACAGAGAAAATGACTGCAGTCAGAGGGTATCCCCAGCTCTTTGTATACCTGAAACCTGGAAATGCCTGAGAGCTCAGCTCTGAGGTTCCCACCATGTCTGAGAGCTCTGAATCTAGCTTCTACCCCAGCTGTTCCAGGGCCACCCTTTCCACTGTGGCCGTCAGCCACAGTGCCTTCCTGCCTTCCACTCCCTGAAACTCTCTGGTGAAGGTTATTTCACTGGTGGAGAAACCTGAGAATGTTTCTTACTCTATTTGCAAATACAAAGAAACACAAAATGATCAAGATATTAGAATTTAAAGTCTTAAAATTCTGCTATTCTCAAAGCCATAACTTCTGGAACCATGAACTTTGTAAGGAATTTAATTGTTGTGAGAACGATAATAAAATATAACCTCTAGTCCCTACTGTTTGTACTTTCCACATATTTAATGCTGGCTAACACAATTTAGATTATAATCAGCATAAATGTGATTTTTACCCTAAAACATAGATTTTAAGAAGCATTTTGTGGTCTTCCTTTTTATTATGTTGCAAAAATTTGAATAAATAAATGAATAAATAATAATTAAAAATATATATATTACACAGAGGAGTTAAGTTTCAAAACTCCAATCCCCTTTGCTCTTTTGACATCAAACAACAGAGTACAATCTCTAGCTGACATTAGTAAGGTCTCCTCACATCCCCAGAAGCCAACATTCTGCATAAAAGACAAAAGATCCAGCAAAGTCAGTTTCAAAATTAATCTTATTCACCAGGTAGCAAAGCCCTGAGTGTGGCTCCCACGCAGACTGCAAGCCATTTGTGAAATGAAAGCAGCAGACAGTAAATGAAGCAGCTCGGCTTTAGCAGCTTGTCAGTCACTGAACAACTGAAGGCTGCAGACATCCTGAGTTAAATCATACATTTAAATGCCACTTGGAGGGATCCCAAAACACCACCTGAGGCTGAGCTGCTTCTGACTTAGAAATGTATTCACATTTGGAAGAACCAGTATAAACTGGCAACTGTTTTCTACCTCTAAATTTGAGGTGAAACCTTAAAAATAAAAATTTCAATGCTGTTTTTTGGCAAGATCAAAAACTAATTAATCCAAACGAAACTGAAGGCATTTGTTCATTATAACCTTGCATAAGTTAAGGAAATGTTTATTCTCTTTTTTCTTTCTTCTGCGCTATTCCACAACTGGTTTTTTTTCTGTTATGATTGCTGTGTACTTGCTTTAAAATTCATTCCCATTCCAACTTACAGATATGGTATGAAAATGTCCTTTCATCTTACTGACACAATCAGTGTAATTTCTAAGGGTGATACTTCACTTAAGTTTACAAAATTCATAAGCAATGTGAAAACTCATTTAAATAGTTTATAACATCCTTGATTTGGTATAAATAAAACTGTTAGGTTCTACTGCTTCCAGTCCTGTAATGCAATTCTGATATTCACTGCTGCAATAAATTAGGCCTTATAAACAACAATACATCATAAAACAAATTCAAGAGATGTTGTAAATAGGGAACAAAATGGAAATTATCTCGTGCAGGCTTTTTCAGTGTAAACCCCTTGACGCATGCTGTAACCAGCCAGTTAATAATTGCTTTGTAAATTCTTGTAAATCTGAAATGAAGCAGAGGGGATAAAGCCAACAAACAAATCATAAAGTATAATTGTTACTTGTTTGGAGTGATTATTGCCACTGCCAGCCAGGTTCCAGATCTCATAACAAAGAATTTGTTGGGTTTTTTTATTTCCTCCATTTCAGCTGTTTTACTGGTGATGGAGAATACATACAACCCTTATCAATAAATAATGTGTCACACAAAAGACACGCTTGGTCAGTTTCTGAATATTTTAAATATTTTAATATTTGAAGCAGTAATACACCGTAAATTTTAATACTTCTCTCTTTGGAGTACTCTCTCCCCCTTCTTCACTCAGAATGGATTTTCTCAGGCTGGGCAGAATATGTGATAGATGATAAAAATCAAGAGCACACAGAAATGGAGACTATGACTGTAATACTATAACGCAGTGGCTCCTTTTCAGAACAAAGAAGACATATGAAGCTATCATTTTAAAAAGAAACCATTTATAAAAACAAAGCTTGGCGAGATCATGAACTGGAAATAGGTTTATCCAAAGGACAAATGCTGGCAGTCTTTATCATCAGCACTGCTGCCATTTTTAGCTATAATATTCCAGATTTTTTAGGAATCTCACCATTAATTTGATGCTGAAATACAATTCCATGCTATGTTGTCAGCGTTATAACAATGATCTTATTTTGTACTGCAGGTTCAACAGCCTCAGAAATCATCAATTTCTTCTTTCTTGTCTCATGGCTTTCTCCCATATAAGAACATATAAAATAGTATTTTATGATCTGTGTTTGGTTTATTTTTTGTTTGTTTGTTTTTTAATCAGGAAATATAAAATGGCATAGAATGGGAGAATCTGTAAGATAAAGTCAACTGTTTTAAAAGAGGTTCTTTGCTGTCCCTCACTTGGTGCCAATCAATCATGCTATTTAAAACAAATATTAATCTTATTTGTAATGATTTAAGTTACTTATCTTGTACTCCTACAAATGTATAATTGCTTTAAAAATTTTGAAGTTTAAAATGCTGTACTTAAGTATAGCAGATGTATTTTATTTTCTTCACATCCAGAACCTCCAGCAAGAACCAAATAAAACATTTAATTTCTGCCACGCAAATAGATGTATGCCTCATCTGAATACCTCTGATCTTGGTGTCATATCACATATAAAAACACATTAATTGAATCCTGTTATTATTAAGAAATATGAACATTTATTGCAATTCATTTCTACAAATAGAAATAAGCTCCTATTTCATTTTCTTAACAAATCCAAGTTCTGAACATGCTTAAAGCACTTAGCAGTCTCAGTATAGACTGCAGACAATAACTCAATATACTGTACAAAAGTATTATATATATAATATGTACTTTATATATATATATTGTATATAACATATAAGTATTTACGTAGTACTTAATACTTAGTGTGTATATATTTAAAGTCTACAACAATTTTAAGTACAAAATTATCACACACTACTGTATAAATGTAGAGAAAATCCATTTCATTTCAGAGAGCTTGAAGAAAAATCAGCCAGTAAATATTTCAGAAAATGATGCATTTAGTTTAAATAATATTGAAAAGGTACTAAAGAAGTGGCTTTAGTGACTGCTTGAGCACTTCCCTAGCTGATGCAGGATTGCTAAATTGTGATCTAAGTCAAGACTAATTGTCTGAACAGAAAAATCAGTGTAAAATCTGAGGAATGTTTTGTTCATGTTTTCTCCAGACAAAAATCATTGATTACTTTAGATAAGTCGTTACCTTATGACATATCTAAATGTTTTTATAGATGTAAACATTCAAAAATCTTGAAAATTTACTTGCATGCTAATGATTAATGACTGTAACCAGAAAAAAACAGTCCACTCTCTCCTCAAAAACCAAAAAAACAGGACAAATTAACATTAAAACAATAAGAAAAGACATTATAGGGTTAACTATAACAATTAATGGCCTGTTTAGCATCTCCTTTAGCTGAATCTTCGACAGACCATTTAATTTTTTTCTACAGCTGAAGGCATTTAAAGAAGGCACAAATTTAATGTAGTGAAACCATGAACAGTCACAGAAGAATACTGTAAGACACTTACAGGAACGAGGAATTTTTTTATTTCTTCCAAGGCATGACTCATACGAGAATATGCTTCCCCAGGTGGAGCAAACACTTCAATTAATACATGAAGCTCATCACTCAAATGCGCATATTTAGCTTCTCCACTTTTCCTCAGTTCTTCCTCCTATGAAAAAGAGTGGTTTCTTTAGAACTGGGAATCCACTGATTTTGCATTGGTTTAGCTCTTACAGAGAACATGACGAAAAAACATAATGCAAACAGACTTTTAGTACAGTCCATTTAAAGATTTAAAAATCATTTTTGAGTGCTTGAATGGTAAAACTAGTGTAATTACCAATTTAATCAGCACAGTGAAAAAATGCTAAATACTCTAAAACTGAGTAATGAAAAATTAACTCCATAAATGCAAAAGATGATACCTGTAGACTGTACATATTAGTATTGCTACATTAAAGACTGCTCTGGCTTTATCTGAGACATGAGGTCTGAGTTTCTGTTCCAGTTCTGATATTTGGTAACTATGCAGTCCTGTGTACAATGGTTAAGATGATGGTTCATCTCACTTTATTTTTTGATAGTATTTTTTTTATAGTATATTATATAGTATATACTAGTATATAGTATATTAGTATTTTTATTATAGTATTTTGAAGTATTTTTTGGTTTATTTTGACAGTCTTTGGTCTCAGTTTTCTATCAATTAAATGAGGGTAATAATCCAGATTTATGTCAGAGCAATATTCTGAAACATCACCCCACTGTTTTATACAAGGCTTTGAAATAGAGGATGTAAACTGTTATGCACATTAATAGTAGCTACCCTACAAAAAGCAAAGTGTAAAATAGTGATCAAGTTAATGTAATTGTCTGTGACAACAGAATGCAAAAATTATCATTACTATACAAAATAGCAATAAGAAATGCTGAAAATCTGACGAGTTTAAACCTCAATCTTCAAAAATACTGTAAGAACTGTAACTTTGAAGAAAGTACATTTGTATATTTTCATTTTACAGATGGAAAACCTAATCAGAGAAAACAAGTAAATTAATTTGGTTAAGATTGGGTTAGAAGTTACAGCCTCTTAGTATATACTCGGATTATTCTTTTGCAGCATGAAGATATCTAAGACACAAAAACTGTAAGAACAACCGTTGATACGTTATTTATTGATAACAAAGTCAACAAACTTCATTAAAATATAAATCACAGCTATTATTTTTTAAACATAGGCAAAAATAATATTTATGTGATTATTTTGACATCAGTAACATGATTTTATAATCTACACTTCTCTCACAGGAAGATATGCATATGCTTGCACTGTTGAAACGACAGCAATGACATTCTTCTCTTCTCCATAAACTCACAGATTCTGAAAAGGCATCATTTTATAACCTTCATAGGTTCAATGTATGCTTTCCGTTACAGCTCAGCAGGTATTTCTGCAGGTGTTAGAGACAGCAAAATCACACACATACACACAGAATTGTAGGGGTTGGAAGGGACCTCCAGAGATCGAGTCCAACCCCTCTGCCAAAGCAGGTTCCCTACAGCAGGTCGCACAGGTAGGCATCCAGGCAGGTCTTGAACATCTCCACAGAAGGAGACTCCACCACCTCCCTGGGCAGCCTGTTCCAGTGCTCCGTCACCTCACTGTAAAGAAGTTCTTGCGCATGTTTGTGCAGAACTTCCTATGCTGCAGTTTCTGGCCGTTTCCCCTTGTCCTGTCTCCAGACACTGCAGAAAAGAGTCCGGCCTCGCCATTCTGCCCCCCACACCTTAGATATTTATAGACTTATACATATTTATAGACAGCATTTCTTCCTGAATATATCTAATGATGCTTTTTTCATGGAACTCATAAATAATGAATTTTCACTTCGTACCTCTTCCTGCAAGTGTGATATGTCAGAAAATATTTCTTTTACTGCAAGTGTGTGTTGTTAAAGGAGAGAAGCTCCTTCAGGAAAAATATCAAAGAGTAAGAACTCATAGTCTATGTAAGCACTGTATGAAGATTTGCTTCCCTGACCCAGTGAGGATGACTAAGCATGTGAGTTGCTCCAAAAGTAATGTAGCAGCTTAAACCTGCTCGTGTAGAAGTGAACCAAACCGTGGTAAGAACAACACATGCTCAAAATGTGATGGAACCACTGTAGAGAACTGTCTGAAAAAAAACAAAATACAGTTAAGGTAGTAAGTGTTATTAGGCACTGAATGTTATAAAAAAAAAAAACAAAAAAAACCTTCGGATCAAATCAGTTTTGGTATATAATAAGAATAAATTTAATAGATTTCCTGGGCTTCTGGATCAGTGTTGGCAATCTCTCCTAATACTGACCCTCATGTTAATAATATGCACCTTCTTTACTATCAGGTTATTATCTTCAATTATGCCCTGGTTGAGTGCAGCACCCTCCAGAAACCATTATCCACCAGATCCTAACATCATTCTCTCCCTCTGTGCACCAACTCCCTTCATATCTCAAAGTAATATATAGCATTGTATTCCATGTCCCAAAACAGCCACTGTCACAAGCTGTGCTTCAGACTTTCTTTGTCCTCACATGGTTTTTGTCAGACACACCACCCTTAACCTGAGGCATGTTTTCAGAACTCACTGCCTCATAGAAGGTAACAGATATTTTGAAACATCTGTGGTATTTCCTAAGTTAGAATCATAGAATCATAGAACCCTTAGAGTTGGAAGGGATCATCTAGTCCAACCCCCCTGCAATGACACCACAGCTAGATCACGTTGCCCAGGGCCTGATCCAGCCTCACCTTGAATGTCTACAGGGATGGAGTATTAACATCTGTTACATGTTATCTGCAACCTGTGCCAGTGTCTCACCACCTTCACTGTGAAAGACTTTTACCAACCTAAATCTACCCTCTTTGATCTTGCAGCCATTTCCCCTTAAAGTTAACTTGAGGGAAATTAAGAAGTTCCCCTAAGTTATCTTAAGTTCCAGTTGACCAAAGCAGGGAAAATGAATTATAAAACTCCTCAGCAGAAATTAGACGAATACTGACCTCTGCAAAGGCAAAGCAGTAGCAATATAAAGGCCAAGAAAAATGATCAATTATCTCTTGATGAGAAAACAGCCTTACAATTTTAGAAGTATATGTTCTGACCCTGAGAGAGAATTTGTTTCTGACTGGAAGATGGACGAGTACACTTAATTAAAACAACTGGAAGGAACAACTAGAATTTGTACAGTAAACAAAATTATGTGATCCAGATTGACAAATGAAAAGTAGGCTGATAAAACCAAAATGCCAGAATATTCAAGAATAAAAGGAAGAAAAACAAAACAAAACAAAACTGAAGCAGGAACTGAGGAAAACACATAGATAAACTGCACAAATACAAGTGGATCTTATAGTGTAACAAATATAGCCATAAAAAGAAACAAAGTGCATTTGAAGAACAATAAGAGAATTGCACTGTATTTCCTATCTGACAAGAACTTGCAAATGAAAGCACAGAGCAGAAAACAGACAGAGCTGAAAATCACAGCACTGTTGCTGGAGAAGAGCTGTTCAGAAGATCAATGGACAATGCTGCAGAAGAAAATTAATGAGCATGAAGTTTCACAAAATGCAAACCAATTATTTTTAATCTGGACATAAATGCAGAACCTAAGATGTCTGTAATGCTGATGCTAGCAACAGTAATAACTGAGCTCTAGAGAAAGGAGTAAATCAGAACAGATGTAATGTGTTTTGGAGTTCAAAATCATTCAGATCCTAGGTCCTAAAGAGAAGAATGCAGAGAAAAATACTGAGGAAAAATCGGAGAATAGAAAGGAATTTAAGAATAGGGAAAGGATTCAGCAGAGTATAAAGTGAAGCTAAATGCTCAGCCATCCCTTAAGTATCATTTTTAGAGAAGTAATTTTCAGTCCAGGTCAAGGAATGAAGACAATGGATATAGTCAGGACATGAGAGTTTGCACAGCAGAGCTAAGAGAGTAGATGTACTCCTGTCATATTACAGAATCTGCAGGCACAGACACCCTGTAAGTAAATACAGGTGTATAAAAAAGAACACTGCTTATAACAGAGGAATTTTTGAACATATATGCAGAGATTTGTGCACATTGTGTTACTTCCCAATATATTTCCTAATGAAATAAAACATCTCAATGATAAAGACGTGCTAATTTGTATGTAGATTATATTGTTTTTAGTCAGTTGATGGGGAATTCATAGATAGATCAGTAGAAGAATGGCACAACAAAATGTCCACCGAATCACTATGGGAAAAACTAGAACATCTGAACAAAAATTGTTTGTAAATCTGTGCCAAGGAAATAAACTTGTAGAAGAGAAGTTAACACATTTAAGTGGTGTGCGCCAAAAAGGAGATCACAAGTAGTCGCTATCATGACCAACAAGATATAATCTACATAAAGAATGTGCCAGAAAGCTGATAGTGGCAAGAGAGTTCACAAACCTACAGATACACCTAGGCTTGCACAAAACTAATCGAGAGATGAAATAACTATAAAACTAAATTAGATAAAGATGTTCAATGAATGCAACCAACGTATTTGAACAAAAAGTTTGAAAAGCCCATTCAGGAAATCAAGAGATCCAATAGAAATGCACAACTGCCATATTTAAAGAGGCTTCCTTCGAAGATTATTTTTATCTTAATAGTTCTGTTCACAACTAGGGACCATTGTATTCAGGGTGGATTCAGGTTCCAGAAGAAGTCTTGCTCTTAAGGAGAGTACAAAATGTCACGTTTTTATTTATGCAAGGCTAATTACCAATTTGTTGCATGCAAGCTATAAAGTAGATTGACCTTCCACTACACTGTGAGCAAAAAAATATCTTATTTGCAATCTTTTTTTTTCTTCATCGTAGTGGAGTGGTAAAAGTCTAATCGAAGAATTGTTAGTACTCTAGTTCCATACTAATTCTTGCAGTTTAGTACGTGCAGGAAAAACGATGAATACACAAACTTTCTATTGCCTACTCTGTTCCCTGGTGTAATGTTCCCCTATCCACTGCTCTTAGGTCCAAAGGCAGAGATATGGGTAGATGGTGGAGGGCATTAATGTGAGAAGAGAGGGCATAGATTTGTTAACACTGGTTGGAAGAAAATATTCTGTTTTCCTTTGCTATCATTCTCACTTTCCTGAGATCA